TGGCTCAGGGTGGGCGGCCATCTGCCTCGGCCGGTTGGGGGTGAGGGAAAGAGAGGGCAAGAGAGAGAGAGAGAGAGAGAGGCAGCCAAACAGCAACACGTAGACTAGATGAAAAATGGCAATGATATTAATGCTAATGATGATGGTAGAAGTTATGACGGCAACAGAGCAGGAACACTGAGCCGAGTTATGTGTGCGCTTCAGAAAATGGCGCCTGTGTCTGAAACACCGGAGGCCATTTCTAACCCACGTGGACGAGTCATTTCATTTTCTCCAGCAGCAGCCCATCAGAGCTAAGGACACTTATGGCCACGGGCTCTACCTCCCGTGGGGGCCGGTTGCTTTCACTCCTTTCAGGATTTTACCCTTTTTCCCCATCCCCCACACGTGCTGTCCAGGCCCGGGTCTCCACCCACTGCCCGCACCGTGCTCTGGACCGGAGATGTTTGTGCAGCAAACGTGAGACATGTGTTGTGTTTAATGGGAGAATATCACGGCCCGCTTGGATCCGTGCGTCTGTGTGTGGGAGGTCACTTCTTTTATGCTTAATTCAGCAGGAAATGTGCGCTCGAAAAAACGAATTCCTCATTTAGAGGCTTAAGCCACATCTGCATAGCTAAATGGATCATTTGCTCTCAGGGCGGCAGAACCGAAAAAGTCTCCAGATCGGCGGGAAAATAAAAGCACACAATTGTCTGACAATCAAGATGCACAGCAGTCCTCATTTTTACATCTTTTTTTGGTCCATCTTCAGTCGTGTCTCCTTATTGTCACCTCTCTGATGCTTTTATAGATGTTTCTGTTGTGTCCACAATGGGTTTTTTTTGTTTGTTTTTTTGTCTCTTCCGCTAAATTCTTCAAAAACTGTGGTGTGTTTATCAAAAGTGAATGAAAACCAGGAGGAGGCTCCTGGTTTGTGTTTGACGGCATGCGGAGGCGGTCCTGCTCATTTATTTTTTGTGTTACTCTGTCACAAGTGTCTCTGTGTGTTTGGCTGTTTTGTCCATTTTTGTTGTTATTTTTCATTATTGTGGTTGTTTTTTTTTACCATTTTCCTGTATTTTGTGTCTTTGCCGTCTTTTACCTATTTTACACTTCTATATAGTTAATTGATTCGTGCCCATTTTACAAATGGATTGATTAATCCAAGTTTACATGTCTGAGGAGTCCTCGATCATCTTTATGACATTCTGTTGTCTTTAATTAATTTATTATTTAAAAATATGAGTCCCATTGTGCTGAGTTCCCGTTTGATTTTAGCTTTGCTTTTGCTATTTAATTGTAAATCTGGATTTAAAACTCAAAAACCCACCTGTTTTATCCTTTACATTTCTGATCCATCAAAAAGAAATGGTTTATTTCTCTTAGTCTCTGATAAACTAAGCATCCCTTACGAGTGCTGATTTCGTAGGTGTATGTAGAAAAGATGCTGGCCTGATTGGCAGCAGTGAAGATAACATGGCTGAACACTCAACAGTAGCGGGGGGGTGATAAGTGGGCGGAAACAATAGGAATGAATTCAGCGTGTTAAAGGGCAGCTGTGTGGTGGCTGCTGAGCAGGTGTCAGCTAAAAACGACCCCGTTCATTCAAGCAGCCACCAGTTCACCATGTTTTTATTTTCTAACTGACCATCAATTCACTTAGAAGACATAGTAATCAAATATTTGACAGATTTTACATTTTCGATCACTGCTTTTCCGTGAGACCTTGTTTTTTTAATGCCAGCCTAACACCCAACGTCATCTTTAATTCATTCACTCTGTTTATTTTGTTGTTTTAGTCCTTTATCTCCACACAAAGGCAGGGTGTGTGCCAACATGAAAAGATACAACGCTCAGAAGACATAAATCAGTTTGCAAAAAAAAACAAACTCTAATACTAACTTAAAAAAGCTCAATGAAAATGTGGGTCATGATTTGATCATAGATTCCAAACATCTTAATGAATATATGTAAAAAGAAAGCTCGGAGTTGAGTATCTGAATGCATTTTGATTGATATTAAGAAATGATTTCAGTCTAAGAGAGATTTTCCCTGCATGGTTATTTCTAACCAGGCCTTTGCTCATTAACAAGTGTTGAGTTGCTTAAATCTGAAAAAGACTAAGTGAACAGCTGAACATTCATTTAAATTCTTATTTAGTAGTCAAACATTCAAAAATGCCAAGAATTGTATATAGTTTGAGGTTTTTGTGATGGAAATCCACATTTTCTTCCTGGATGAGCTCCTACATTTAAAACTGGTGATTCAAAGACATCTTGAACATGACATTTTAGCATCCAAGGGGGAAGGTTTCTTCAGATATAAACATGGAAAACACACACACACTCTCTCCATCCAAGGGAGATGGATAGAAAGGGGAAAAAACCTGCCAACAGATGGTGCACAGAGCAAAAATAGGAAAGAAAAGGTTTACATGGAGGCCCTTAAGTTTGCCTCAGGCTGCTAACACCCTGCCTCCACCCCCATCCCCCGGTACTCCTCCACCCCTTCACTTTGGTAGTTTGATCTTCATATTTTCATCATCCCCAAATCTAGTCTCCACCTGTGTCTCCATCTTCATGCCACCTTTCCGTTTGCCCATCCTCGCATCCTTTTTAAAAAAAATTTTTTTTTATCTCGGTTGCCTTTTCATCTCTTACTCCACCCCCTTCCTCCCACCACTTCCCTTCCCTTCCCTTCCCCCCCCCCAAGCTGGTGGTGTCCAAACACCAACCCGGAGCGCACTCTCTCGATGTCAGTCACTTTTTTTTTTCCCAGCCAGCAGACGGCAGAGACGGTAATCCCAACCTCCATCCCGTCCACCCCACCCCCTTTTTTATAAAAAAAAAAAA